TAAAAAAAAAAAAAAAAAGAAACCACCTAAAGAAATTAAATGACTTGTCCAAGATTTCACAGATAACTAGTGACAGAGTCCAGACTAGAACCCAGACCTCTTGACCCTCACCTCATTGCTCTTTGTATAACGCTACCTGAAATGAATTGTATTAAATTTTTAAAAAGTAGGAGAGAGTCACAGATTTATTTTTTAACTATTTATAAAATTTGATTGGTATGTATAGAAGAATGGCTGTCCATTTAGGGTTTTGGTTTATTTATTTATTTATTTATTTATTAACTCATTTTTAGGTGCAATGAAAGCCTTCCTTGCTTTCTGTATTGTCCTTTTGGTGTTCGGGAGGGTCTCTGAAGCCAAGTTTGATGATTTTGAGGATGAGGAAGACATAGTAGAATACGATGATAATGACTTTGCTGAATTTGAGGATGTCACAGAAGATTCTGTTACTGAATCTCCTCAACGGGTGATAACAACTGAAGATGATGAAGACGAGACCACTGTGGAGTTAGAAGGGCAGGATGAAAACCAAGAAGGAGATTTTGAAGATGCAGATACCCAGGTGAGGTTCTTTTTCTTGATTTCTTGGGAAAGTGGAAGGATGGGAAGATTTGTAACTGGTACTTTCCCCAGACATTAAAAGTAACACCCAGCTCTAAGGAGATCTTTATTCTCTGCTATCTTAATTTTTGTTCAGTAGGCGGAGCTCTTCTAGATGTTTTGTGGTATGTTCCATCTTTTCTTCTCTATAGAGAGCCTGGCTGGAAGGGGTGGAGAATAGATACCGTGTGTGGGTGGGAATTGTATCAGAGTTCAAATGCATGGAGAGTTATCATTTGTTACCAACATGGAATATTTCTGTGTTCTGTGCTGCTGCTTACATGGTCTGTTTTCCTCTACAAATATGGTCTACAAAAATGAGATGCAATTGCTGGCCACATTTGTAGGGGAAAACAGATTGTTCCTCGTTTTTGTAGGAGGGAGATACAGAGAGTGAGCCATATGATGATGAAGAATTTGAAGGTTATGAAGACAAACCAGATACTTCTTCTAGCAAAAATAAAGACCCAATAACAATTGTTGATGTAGGTATACAGGATTCTGAATTCCAAACTAACCAACAAAATATCTGGCTGTTAGTAATCCCAGAAATATAATTGGTGACATATAGCTAGTGTTGATGTAATAGCGAGAATTTGACATCAATTCTTCTGATAAAACTCCACACCTAGAGAAGCAACCCCTATCATTCTAGCCCTCCTAGTTTTATTTATCAAGGAATGATGAGGAGACTAGAAACTGGGTTTATTTGGGGGTAGACTCAGAATCAAGTTTAATACAAAGGTCCTTCCAGCATTTTATTCCATTTGTCCTCCCATTTCCTTAAAGAATCTTTTCAAAAGCTGACCTAGAAAACCAAAATGAGCATATTTTTCAAAGTATGACCATATTCAGTGACAGTTATCTAAATTATCAACTTCTCTCATGCTCCTTTATCCCATGAGTTAGACTCCATCCTTCAACCTCAGCCAAGATTAAATGGAATGATTGTTCATCTTCAGGTTCCTGCACACCTCCAGAACAGTTGGGAGAGTTATTATCTAGAAATTTTGATGGTGACTGGTCTGCTCGCCTACATCATGAATTATATCATTGGGAAGAATAAAAACAGCCGCCTTGCTCAAGCCTGGTTTAACACTCATAGAGAGCTTTTGGAGAGCAACTTTACCTTAGTAGGTAAGTTAGGCTAATACAAGTCCAGCTGTATGCTTGAACACCACCTAGTAAAAACTGTTTATTCCCCTCAGTATAAGCACCTGACTGCTTTCATGGACTGCTGAAGAGGATGCAAGAAGGATCCAGAAGGATCCCATTTTTATTAGGCCTTATGTACTGAATTAATTGCATTTATAAAGTAATTTTCTAATTTTTCATTAATCAATAATTGCTAGTTAGGGTTAGCAATTATTGATTAGTCTCTTCTGATTAGCATGAGATAGTGCTATTAAAACAAGTTGATAGAAGTTTGGCTGAAAACAAGGAATTTTGACATTTTAGGTAGCTTGATAAATGCTTTCATTTCATCTTTGAGAAATTAGAAATCCCTTAGAATTTCCTCAAGTTCTGGGAACTTTAGTTTCGGATCCATTGAAAAGGTATACCTTAGAGGAAGCCCTGTACTTGTGTAGTGGAGGGAGTAAGGCGAACTCACCCCACCTTCACCTCACTTTGGCCTTTCACACTTTTTTTCCTTTTAGTAAGCAGGTACCCATCTGCTCAGCTCTTTAGCAGACTGTTTATGTGTTATGCTAGGTATTTTGCATACATTGTTGCTTATTGAATCTTTGTAACAATACTGTCAGTTGGATATATAGTTTCTGTTTTCTTAAGGAGGAACTAAAGTCCAGAAATGTTAAAATTTGTCTAAGTTATTAAATTGCAACCATGATATTAGAACTTGGTCTACCTGCTTTCAATGTCCATGCTCCCTCTCTCCACTGTACCGTAGTATTTCAGAGTACTTTTTGACTTGGAAATTAGGAAAAAAATAAACAGCCTTTAACGCCTTCCACTTCCCCTTAATGTGTTTTCTTTTGGTGTGTTGGTCTGCTTTACCTTGTGACGTTGAACAATTTCTTTTGTACACTTAATGAATTAAATGAAGAGAGGAAATGATTGGAATTTGAGCTCTTTCTAGATCTAAAATAGAACTCTTAATAGCACTATTACCATGTTGCTGTTGAAAAACCAAACTTGGTTAAAGTTAATCCATAGGTGACACAGAAGGGAGTGGTGAATAGTTTGTATTAATGGTATTTTTTATTCACTGCATAGGAGTTTTTGTTTTTAACCTTTGACAGAGACATTTAAACTGACTTTGCTCCATTTTGTATCTACTTTTGAGAAATTTATATTCCAAGCTAATCATCATTAACAAGTAACACTAGAGTCCATGATTATTTTTTTTTAAGATTACATTTTTAATTAATCTCTACACCCAACATGGGGCTTGAACTCACAACCCGGAGATCAAGAGTCGCATGCTCTACCAACTAAACTAGCCAGGCACCCCTAGAATCCATAATTTTTAGATGGAGACAATAAAGAGTATTGAAAGGAATGATGACCATCTGTTCTAATGTATGTCCAAAGGAGAGTTCTGTAAGATCGTAAAGTATTGCTTCCCCAAAACGATGATCATTTGGGTGTCAGAGTGGAGGATGTGTGGTGATTAGGCCCCAGCATTTTCAGCAAATCACATTAAGTGGTTTTACCCCTAGGGGATGATGGAACTAACAAAGAAGCCACAAGCACAGGAAAGCTGAACCAGGAGAATGAGCATATCTACAACCTGTGGTGTTCTGGCCGAGTGTGCTGTGAAGGGATGCTTATCCAGCTGAGGGTAAGTATGGAATTTCTGGTATGATGTATATCCTCTTTAATTGTTTTCCACTGCTTTTCCAAATTCAAGTTCATGGTCTTATCCTTTGTTTTTTGGCTAAAAAAAAGATGTAAAAATCATCTTTTGACTATTTGGCAAATGTAGAGTGTATTTCTTGAAACATTCGATTCCCCCTTCAAGGTCTTTTCTTTATAGTAATAAAAGTTGCAACTATTCTCTTGTTTTTTTCAGTTCCTCAAGAGACAAGACTTACTGAATGTCCTGGCCCGGATGATGAGACCAGTGAGTGATCAAGTGGTATGTATTCTTCCTGCTGGTTTTCTCTGTACAGACTGAATTCTTAACTTCTTAGAGTTTATTTCATTCCTTGCCTGGATTCTGTTTGAATTTCAAGCAACTTGTGTCCCTTGTCAAAAATGGACTCTTTTCTATTTTGATGGATTGTCCTCTACTTAGTGTACCAACCATGGAGAGTGGGGAACGTGTGCTTTTTGTAGGGAAGGAGATAATATTCTCTCACTAGGTAAATTCGCTGAATCAGCCTGGGTGATGGAGGGAAAAATAGTTGTCATAGTTTGCTCTCACATCTTACTCTGTGCCTTGTGAATGCTTTTATCTTTGACAGTAAGGTGGGTTTCTTAAATATTGTTTGTTTCAAAGAATACATCTCGAAGTTCAAATCATGATCTGGGGACCTTATTGTTTGGTATACCTTCTTCCCTTTATTTAAATCAACATGTTAATCTGCAAATTGTATCCTTTGTCAGAAATGCCAAATCCCCCCCCCTTCATTTATTCAACAAATAATTGTGCTGGCTCCCACTGCTGCAAGAAACCAAAATATACAAAAATATACAGTCTCTTTTGTATAAACTAGAAGAACAAGAGATGTCTGCATATATGTCAAAATACAAAGTAGTATTTGGTTAATAAGTACTGTATTAGTAATATGATTAGATACTTTGAAATGTCTTTGGATTGAAACTCATTGTTATTATTTTAAAGGTCTCATTTTTAGTTGCAAATCTATATCTTTTATTCATTTTAATTTTTCTCATATGGCCACTAATGGTTTAATCCACTAATATTTATTTATTTATTTATTTATTTTTAAAGATTTTGTTTATTTGACAGAGAGAGAGAGAGCGAGAGAGGGAACACAAGCAAGGGGAGTGGGAGAGGGAGAAGCAGGCTTCCCGCTGA